CGACTGAATCGACTTTTCAATTCTCTATCCAGCGATGCCAAAACGAATTCTGTGGCTCGAATGGTTCTTGAGAAACTTCGAAAAAAGCAGCGTCAAGTTCAAGTGGATTTTGCAACTCAAAAAAAAAACCAAGCAAATCTAAAACTTCTTCAATTCAAGCATTTTTTGAAAAAACTGCCAAGATTTCCCCATCCCTGGTTCACTTTCTAAAAAGTCCATTTATTTCAGTCTAGAATGATGTAAAAACCAGCGTTCTTGCTCATTTTGCTTCCGAGAAACATGCAAAACGGGACGAAAAACATGAAATTTTGGAATAATCTTGCGCCACCCTTGCACAAAACGCGCTTATTGTGCTGGATAAGTGCGCAAAATTTTACTCGATTTGCAAAACTTTGGCAAATCGACATGCTTATGGTTTAATTGCGAACTTACCGAGAATTCCTGGTACGTTTCGGTCTGCCAAAAATTGAGCGTATTCAGGAACGATTGCAGTATTGATAGTCCTGAAACATTTTTATTGGGAGTAGGCAATAAGGGCTTGAAAATTACCAACAAGCAGGGCGATTCTAGATTCTAGATCTAGAAGAAATTTGCGAAAGCGCCTTAAACGGTACTGAACCTTACCAGTCCTGATTAAAAGCTGTAAAAACTGGAGCCATCAGGCCTCTGAACGTAAAATTGACCTGCAAAAAGAGCGTAAACTATAGGGTGTTCCCAAGTTACATTGGCTCTATTTTCCGAGCAAACTGTGTCTTTCATGTTCAGTTTGAAAATACTATTAACTGCACATAAAAAAGGCAGGAAAGCACTTGAACTTGTATCTGTGATTTTTTCGTACAATAAATTATATCAAAAGGTATGTATAAATAACGATAACAGCGGCAAACAAGCACTTATGACTGTAATGTTTATTGAAATCCAGCAAGATTTGAAAATTAGTAGCCAACAGTGCGGCAAGATAAAGTCAGGTTTATTAAACATATTTTTTGCAATTGAATCAGTTAATCATCATTCAATTATCAGGGGTTTGCTTACCATTTTGCTGTGGAAGTTGCAACCAAGCGCGTCTTTTCACTACACAGACTGCGACCAAAATACTTGACTTTTGTTTTATATGAAGGTTCTTCAAGCTGATAAGACTGGAGATTAGTAGATTCTTACACAATAAAATTGTTTTTACATGCTAGATATAATGGTCAATATGATTAGAACACTTAGGAGCGCTGTTTGCTCATTAATGGCTAAGTAAACCCCGAAAAGGAAGCACTCTGTTATTTATTTAATTATAATGTTTGGCTGGTGTTTGCAAGGATTTTTGGAGCAAATAAGGACCCAAAAAACATCCAATTTGAGGGCATTTGATGCGAATTTTGAAACTGATGTTCTAATTTTAAACGAATGCTGGCAAGTCGCCCACATACCCACATAGCAAAATGATATTCCCAGAATATACCTGGAACGTTCATGTGATGTACATGCATATTCCTGGGACATACATGAGTTACATTATGAACA